TACTATGATATAGAAATACAGTAAGACCCCACGATAACATGACTTTTGATATACAGTAAAACCTTGGTTTGTGAGTATAAAACTCCTTCTGGAAACATGCTTGTAATCCAAAGCACTTGTATATCAAAGCGAATTTCAAGAACCATTGGCTCAGTTGTGAGCATGTGATGTTCAGCATTGTGTACTACTTATATTGGAAGAGATTGCTCCTTTAACAAGTTCAATATTATTAGAAATGTTTGCTCATCTTGCAGAATATTCGCATTACAAGTTACTCACAACCCAAGATTTTACTGTAATATGATGGGCAATAGGGCCTAGAGAGAGGCGGAAATGAGAGGATAACATTTAAGCACCACTGCTGAGTAAACAACTGTGACAAGGTGGTCTCAAAACACTGCTGAGTCCCTGATGGATTTAAGTTGTGCATCCAGCTAATTAAACAGGCTCATATCAGTCATTCATGCATCTCTCAATAATATAACCTGGAATTTTATAGTAATTAATTTTGTGGACTTTATTATGTTATGGTGCAATTTAATTATATGCTTATATTTTAAATGCACAAAAATAAGGCACCTGGGCAGCTTGGTCGGTTAAGCATCTGACTCTCGACATTGGCTCAGTTCATGATCTCACAGTTCCTGAGTTAGAATCCTGCATCTGGCATGGTGCTGGCAGTAGGAGCCTGCTTGGCATTCTTCTCTACTTTTCTCTGCCCCTCCCCTTCTCTAAAAATAAATTAAGAAACTTAAAAAAAAATGAATGCACACAAATAAATACATGTATGTTGTTACAGAAATGTAGTACTGCATATGTTAACTTTCTTTTTTTTTAATGCGAAATTTATTGTCAGATTGGTTTCCATACAACACCCAGTGCTCATCCCAAAAGGTGCCCTCCTCAATACCCATCACCCACCCTCCCCTCCCTCCCACCCCCCATCAACCCTCAGTTTGTTCTCAGTTTTTAAGAGTCTCTTATCCTTTGGCTCCCTCCCTCTCTAACCTCTTTTTTTGCATATGTTAACTTTCAATTTACTTAAAAAAATTTTTTTTAACGTTTATTCATTTTTTGATAGAGACAGAGTGCAAGTGGGGGAGGGGCAGAGAGAGAGGGAGACACAGAATCTGAAGCAGGCTTCAGGCTCTGAACTAACAACACAAAGCCTGACATGGGGCTCAAACTCATGGACCGTGAGATCATGACCTGAGCTGAAGTCGGATGTTTAGCTGACTTAGTCATGCAGGCACCCCACTTTAAATTTACTTTTTGAAAAAAAAAATGTTTATTTATTTATTTTGGGTAAAAGAGAGAGCACAAGTGGGTGAGGGGCAGTGAAAGAGGAAGAGAATCCCAAGCAGGATCCTCACTGTCAATGTAGAGCCTGACACGGGGCTTTATCTCACAAACTGTGAGATCATGACCTGAGCCGAAACAAGAATCGGATTCTTAACGAACAGACTGAGTCCCCCAGGCACCTCTAAATTTACCTCTTTTTTAACCAAATTTCATCAAATGAAATTTGTATGTATGTATAATATAATGGTTATTTTCATTTCTAAATGGTATACACTATTGGTGTAGTTTGAATTGTTTTAACAATATCATGAAGTTTGTTTCTTTATCGTCTATCACAATTATGTGGAAAACTGCTTGGCTCATGAGAATGTGCACACACATGTGTGAATGCGAATGTGTTTATGCACATGCTTGGGTGCATGTCTGCTATTGCCTAGAACAATTCTCTCTTTCTGTTCCATCATTGCTGTTTTTCACTTGTGGCTTCTCTTTGCATTCAAGTCCAAGTCAAAGGATTGAAGCTAGGAATCCAGATCTATAAACTTTAGCATTGTAAATCATTGTGACTACCATTAAATACTTTCTAGGATGAGTAGCTAAGAATGGGTTTACAGGCTGAAGGGAATGCATATTTTAAATACTTAAGCAATTGCTTAAGTATGCACTTTCCAAAAAGGTTGACCAATTCAGTTTCCATGACCTGAAAATAAGTGAGAAATTCCTTGGGGTTAAGTGCAGAACATGCTAAAAAGTGCTTGGGGCGTCTGGGTGGCTCAGTCAGGTAAGCATCTGGCTTAGGCTCAGGTCATGATCTTGCGGTTTGTGAGTTCGAGCCCTGCGTCCGGCTCTGTGCTGACAGCTCAGAGCCTGGAGCCTGCTTCAGACTCTGTGTCTCCCTCTCTCTCTGCTCCTCCCCTGTTCACACTTTGTGTGTCTCTGTCTCAAAAACAATAAATAAAAACAGTTAAAAAATGTTAACCTAAGTCCCCCTAAGGAGGAACAAGTGGACTTCTACCCAGCAACGCAGCATGAGACAGGCCAGGGCGATGGTAAAGACCCAGGGTCTAGGTTCAGTTTGACTGTTCTCTTCTTTCCTTCCCACCCTCCATTTAGGTCCTGTGTACCTTCTAAGGCTCATGTCAAGGTCTTTTTCCTCCTTGAAGGTTTCTCTGATTATTTTGTGCTAACTGGCCATTGCCTTCTCTGAGTTCCTGTTGGCCTGGCAGTCCACCCTTTCCTTTAAATTCCTCCAAAGGAATCTCATGTCTTATGTGAAGGAGGTTCCTCCTTTTCAGTAGTGGTGTCATATCTGAAGAGTCTGACAGTTTGCTGCAAAAAATAATCCCCTTTTTAAAGGGATTTAATCAGTCTTGATCCCTGCAGACCTCCTCTGATTCCGCTTATCAGTTCTGTAGCGTCATCAGCTGGTGCTGGTCGCAGTGAGATGTCCTTTAACTACTTGCTGTACCTTTAAATACTTGTGTCATTGCTTGACACCAGGCCCTGCTTGACACAGGCTTCTGCTTGACATGAGAGAGTTCATTTTGCTTTCTACACTTACTAAGGGTCACACAGTCAGTTCTAGGTCTGGCCTGGGACTAACATATCTTGTCAAGCCAGTGTTCTGTCTGGGAGACCCAAACCATTATATCTTGGGTTTTCTGGTACTCAAATACACATGCTTCCCAGAAGACAGAATAATATGAAAGAAGAGTAAGTGAAATAAAACAACACGAGGTGAAGGTTTTTTTTTCTTTCCACATAATCTATTAACCTCTTTAATCTGTCTCACAAAAAGGCAACAAATCTTATTTAAAAAAAAATACATGTATGTCACCTCCTGTTATTTTGTAAATGTTACCTCTGAGAACTATGTAACTTTTATTGGAAAATTTGTGACTTAAAGACTGAAGTGAGGCTAAAAGGTAATCAATATCTGTTGAAGACTATATGAGCCAAAGGCTTTGAGCCAAGTATCATTTAGAACTTCCAAAAGTCAGTTCTATGAGGCATACGTTATTACCACCTTTCAGATGAGGAAATTTTGGATCATAATATGTACCTGACAATTGATGATTCTGTAGGCAGCACAGCTTCCTGGCAAATATCACTACCAAGGCTCTGGAGTCAAATATTACTTTCTTTTTTTTTTTTTTTTATTTTCAATCATTTTCCCCAAATGAAATCCTAATATAATAATAGCTTGCACTTTTAGAGCACTTACAATATGCCAGGAAATACTCTCAGGACTGCACATGTGTTCATACATTTAACTAATTTTGTCTTTGTTTTTTCCAACTATAAAAAAACATGTTACTTTTGTTTAAAAAGAAGAGAATATAAAAGTATTAAGAACAAAGCGAAAACTACATTTAAAAATCTCACTCCTGTCCCAGGCGCTTTTTTTTTTTTTTTTACAAACCCTTGCCAAACCAACCTTGTACACAACAGCCAAGGACCAGACTGTATATGAAATGGAGGCTGGAGGAGGGGCGATGGATGGAGGAGTTCTTAATCTTGGGAGCTGAAGGCACGAAGCGGCAATTCTTAAAAGAAGTAGAAAAGTTAGTAGCTCCAGAAAGAAAAGATGCAGCTATTCCCCAGTAGTCAGAAAGGCGAATAACATTTTGCCATTTCGGATAGGCAACAATAACAAAGAAGGACAAGGCCAGATGTATAACAGGGGAGGGGGCAGGGGGGCGGGCGCACTTCTGCCGCGCTTTTGGTCGGAGTGGAGATTGGGGACCCGAGCTCGCTGGTGACGTAGATCTCACGTGACCAGGAGTCGAAGTGTACCGAAGTCCTGCTAGTCTGGTCCTTGTTCGCGTCTGGGTATCACCTTTTCTTTAGCAGGCAAACCGCAGAGCCTGAGGGCAGTGGAAAGAGGAGTTAACTTGACGGAATTCTGCAGGTTGGTATCAAAATAGGTGCTGCCTGGGGACTTCTAGGGTGGGAGTGGCCTAGGGCAGAGACCTGGTCAAAGCCATGTCTCCACCTCCTACCTCCAAGTCTACAGAAAGTGATGACCATTGGGAAAGGGCCTAGGGGTCCGGGAAGAAGTACAAGGAGAACTGTGATAGTTTAAAAATAATCATTCTCTGCCACTTCAGACTGCTTTCCCAACACCTCCCCTCCCCCCAACCCCTGCCCCAGTCTTAAAGATAGTTTGGAAATAATCTGCTTTTCTTACTCCTTGTCTGTTGGGAAATTCCAGCTAAATTGTACTGTGGGGCGGGGGTGGGGGTGGAAGAAGTGGGAGAAGCAGAAAGTGGGAAAGTTGTCATAACCAAGTACCTTAATGAGGAAAAAGGTACTAGCGCCCCACCAAGCGTTCGCCCCTCCCCTACTGCCACCCCTCCCCCATCTCCAACACATCCCACTCCCGTTTTCTGTTTGTCCGCAGGTCTGTTATTCTTAGCACTACACAAGGCTAGAAGAGGCAAGGAAGAAACTGTTCGGATCAGTACAGGTATATGAGGGAAATGTTATAAATACCCCTGGTGTCAAGGTGAGGCATGCACATGTCAGAGGTCCTGGGTCCCACTCTTCCTACCCGCCCCCCCACCCCCGACACACACCGCCTATTCTCCAACCTACGCTGTTCTAGGAGGGTCTTGGGTTTTGTCCGGCGTGGAAAAGTGGGGGGGTGGGGGGTGGGGGGGAAGACCTTGAAAAAGGCTGCAGGGAGGGACAAGAGACAGGTAGGGAGGTAGAAAATGGAGGTAAGAGCCGCCGGTTCAGGGAAACTCTAATTGCTGATTGAGTCTCCCAAGTGGAAGATATTTGATGATAGCTCTGAATCAAAGAAAGCAAATGCTGAGACCTCTGTCCAGAGCACTGGTCCATTCACCAAATATTTGACTTATGGTCACCTTGCTTCCTAGCAGTAATTGTATTGAGAGGAATAAATCAAAAAAAAAAAAAAAAAAAAAAAAGGAAAAGGAAAGAAGGAAGAAAGGAAGGGAGAGACTCACAAGATGAAATCCTGTCAAAAAATTGAAGGAAAACCAGAAAATGAGAGTGAACCAAAGCTTGAGGAAGAGCCAAAGCCTGAGGAAAAGCCAGAGGTGGAAGAAGAGCCAGAAGAGGAGGAAAAAACGGAAGGAACTTTTAGAGAAAGACTGATTCAGTCTTTGCAGGAATTTAAAGAAGATATACACAACAGGCATTTAAGCAAGGAAGATATGTTTAGAGAAGTGAGTGAAATAGAGGAGATAAGGAGAGTAAGAAACAAACTTATAGTGATGCGTTGGAAGGTTAACCGAAACCATCCTTATCCCTATTTAATGTAGTTTGCCTTGATTTTATTTTTTTCTGATATTAACATTGCCATTTAGCTTTCCTTTGATTTGCATTTTCTTGATATACCTTTTTCCATCTTTCTACTTTTAATTTGTTGCTATTAGTGATTTTAGATGCATTTCTTGTTAACCTGCATCTCATTTTTATCATATTTTGAACAATACACAAGTCTCTGCCTTTTAATAGGAGAGCTTTACTCATTTGTACAAAAAGAGGTTCCTGACAGGATATAAAATTAAAAAAAAAGTTACTAAGTAATATGTGAATATCATATTTTTGAAAGAAAGAATACATTGTATATTACCTATATGCACAGAAAAATGTGTGAAGGATGAAAGACAAAAAGTAAAATCATTTGTAGGATTATGAGTAATTTTTTACTCTGCTTATTTGTATTTTTTCTTATTCCTAGAATGTACACACATTATTGTTAAAATAATAAAAATTTTATAACAAAAAAGAAATAACTAACAGTATTTAATTTATTTCTAAACGCACTGGGGCACTTAATATTTGTTGAGAGAATTTTAGAAGCAAATGTGAATTCCAAATTACCACCAGACCACTTAGCTAGAAGAATAAATTTATATTTTTTTCTCATCTCTAAAATAGAGACTCTGATCTCTAAGGGATATATGAGGACCAAATAAGGTAATCACTGTGAGCTCTATTTTAGCAGGTTTTTCCCCCCCATCAGCCCATGCAGGATCCCAATTCCCAAGGGATTTGTATCAGCTATTTGGGATGATAGAGAAAGTAGTTCTCACCTGTACTTAAGAATAAATCCAGGCAACTGTTAGGTGAGTGCCACCTTTATGTTCCTTTCCTTCTGTGCCTGCCCAACCTCCCTTTATTATCCCTTTGATATTGTCATGTATATTGGATAGTTCTGCCCCTTCATCCAGGCCCCTGCCTATGGGCTGATAATGTTCTGGAATTCTCAAATAGTGAAGCCTAACATATTTCTTTGGAACACCCAGTGGGCTTAATCCTCAGACCCACAGAAGGGGGGAGAATGCCCATTTCTTAAATTTACATAGTTATGCAGGGCAACTTGGGCCATATCTTATAGGTATCTTGACAGTTAAGACTCCGACACAATGCATCAATTTGGGGATTGGACCAGAAGACAAGTCTGAGTAACAGATGTTATGCTTTAATCAGAATTGCTTCTCTTTGAATCTAAAGATTATGGTTTTATCTTCTGACTATTTCCTTAGGGTGAGTGATCTCTGCCAGAAGACTGGTGACAGGCTCTCCTCACCAGTTCCACAGATGCCTCTAGACCTGGGTAAATTTTAAAGGGAGGTTCTGCTTCAGATTCTGTGTCTCCATCTCTCTCTGCCCCACCACTGCTCGCACTCTGTCTCTCTCTCATAAATAAATAAACATTAAACAAATTAAAGGGAAGTTCAAGTCAGATTTGGGGATACTGCCATCCTTACCTGGAAATGTGAAAGTGCTATGTAAAACTGTGTATATCTGCATCCAAATCTACGTACCTATATAGATATCTGTATATGTATATATGGCTCACAGTTTTTCCAGTAGTGTGTTATTTAATTTTTCTGTGATGCTCTTTTTTGGGCAATTCATGACTTTAGACTATTCTTCAAAGTTGTAACAACCTGATGGATGCTAGTCGGGCTGGATTCTGACTGGAGTAAAAAGCTTCCAGGGGCTCACTAAGTCAGTTTTCTAAGACAAGATGGATCCAATCCCCTGGCACTCAAAGGAGTGGTACTCAGGTAGGATATAGAAAGGCTCATTCAAACCACACTCCTCTCCATGGTGGGTCTGACTTTGGTTTCTCTGATTCAGATGAAGCAGGCACTAGACTCTCCTTTGCTGATGACCAGGCTGTCCTGGATATACTTACCTGGAGGATGACAAAAGTCCCTATAGCAGGTCAGAGCACTAGACTTCCTTTCTTCCTTTTATTTTCCTTCACAAGGGTACTTGATGAGAACTTTTTATATGGAAGAAGACCTCAAAATTGACTAACTAAAAGCATTGGTTGTGATAGTCTGTCCGAGCCATGACAACTGTGGATGCAATCAGGTTGGCGTTAGAGGGCCTGGTGGTAGGTGGGAATAATTTTAGATTTTAGATACTACACAAATATATTAAATATATATATATATATATATATATATATATATACACACACACACACACACACATATATATATATATATATATATAATTGTGATGTCCATGTGTTTATTTGAATATATATTAATGAATACTCTGTTTCAGGCAAATGATTATAGTATAGATTCAGGGTGTTGTTATAAAGTTTCCTTTTAAAAAATAGTATTCAAATTAAGTTAGTAAGTCACTTTGAAGACAGACATGAGGTAGAACACAATACTAATAGCAGAGGTAGTACACAGATGTGGCAAAAATCATCTTAGTGGGAAACATTCCCCTAGCATAACTGATTTAGGGATAATATCTGGAAACACCTGTCAAGAATTATGCCATCTGGGATTTTACCCTACTTACAAATTAACAAATTAACCTGCTACTGTTTAATGGATACTGGCAAAAGATGACTAGAATCCCAGGTCAGAGATTATAATATTACTCATGGCAAAAGCCATAGCCAGAGCTTCATATTGGTTTGTGTTATTTCTCCATGATCTTCAAGTTCCATGGGGTGACACAGGCTCTTTTATGGATGTCCGCACATGCAGTGCTTTGTGTAACAGGAAAGAAACCTTGTATTTGGAGATTTTATCACTTTCATGGTAAACAAAAGCAAGCCTGCTCTGTGTCCAGGGAAAGATGTTACCTTGTTCTTCCAAGTTGCTTGTTGCAAACACAACTCTGACACATGGCCTGCCTGCGTAGAGTGGTCAGGGTCTTACATTCTTGGTATACCCAATAAAAATGTGCAGGGATGCTCAGAATTCAAAGCAGATTGACTCTCCCAGTAACGGTTTTCTCTGTGTAGTAAATTTTCATTTTTTAAAGGTTTATTCATTTTTTAGAGACAGAGACAGAGCATGAATGGGGGAGGGGTAGAGAGAGAGGGAGCCACAAAATCCAAAGCAGGCTCCAGGCTCTGAGATGTCAGCACAGAGCCCGATGCGGGTCTCGAACCCACAAACTGTGAGATAATGACCTGAGCTGAAGTCAGACACTCAACCAACTGAGCCACCTAGGCACCCCTCTGTGCAGTAAATTTTAATGTGAATGGCAAGCCTTTCCTAACATCACAAATTTGGATTTATAATTCCAAGGTAAATAAAGCAGATAATGCATTATACTGTAGAGTGTCAACAGGGCATTTGTAACTTTCTAATTTTTACTTAATACATAGAATTTTGAATGAATCCCAATTAACTGAAAAGAACAACTAAGAAACTAAAAGTAAATAGTCTATGAGGAACTTTAATGTTACAATAAGACATAGCTACCATGATGCACAAAATAAAAGTAGAGGAGCACAACCAATGCATTTATCAGGATGCTAATGACAGGAGTAATTTTATGCAAATTTTTTCACTGAGAAACTGATAGGAGAGTGTGTGTTTAAAAGCCAGCCTCGGGGCGCCTGGGTGGCGCAGTCGGTTAAGCGTCCGACTTCAGCCAGGTCACGATCTCGCGGTCCGTGTGTTCGAGCCCCGCGTCAGGCTCTGGCTGACGGCTCAGAGCCTGGAGCCTGTTTCAGATTCTGTGTCTCCCTCTCTCTCTGCCTCTCCCCCGTTCATGCTCTGTCTCTCTCTGTCCCAAAAATAAATAAACGTTGAAAAAAAAATTTTTTTAAATAAAAAAATAAAAAAAATAAAAGCCAGCCTCAAATCCCATACACACATAATCATCTTTGCCTCTATAAAAGGAAAAGGCAAAAGCCAAGAGAAAAACTGGTCTGTTCCCTTTACAAGCAAAGTTAAAGGTAGGGTAAGGGTTGAGGGAGGGTGGGGCATCTCACACATAACAGTGTCCAAAAGTAGTTATTTGATGCTCTGACACCAGCGTTTTGCAACAGCCTTAGCAAAAACAGCTGCACCATTTGATGGATAATTTAGTTGGGTGTGGAGTGTCTTTTGTGTACTTATTAGCCATTCGTACATTTTACTTTGAGAAATGTCTATTCAAATATATTGCCTGCACCCCACTCCCCGCAGTATTTTCAGTACAGTGTGGGTAAAGAATCTTTAAAGGAATAAGGTAGATCCATATGTACTACCCGTTCACTATGCTGTGATTAAAAGAAAAATGAAGGACAGGAGATATAGTATAAAAATACATATCCATACCCACAAACATCAAAATGAAGCCCTTTAGCTCACTAAAAGGAGTGATCATGTCTTTCTTTTATTATTTTTTTAATGTTTATTTATTTCTGAGACAGAGAGAGACAGAGCATGAGTGGGGGAGGGGCAGAGAGAGAGGGAGACACAGAATCAGAAGCAGGCTCCAGGCTCTGAGCTGTCAGCACAGAGCCCAATGTGGGGCTCGAACTCACAAACCCTGAAATCATGACCTGAGCCGAAGTCGGTCGCTCAACTGACTGAGCCACCCAGGCGCCCCGATCATGTCTTTTTAAATGGCATTTTGATATCTCACCAAGCTTCCTGCTATCTGGGTTTTTAAGAAATAATTATTTTTAAAAATTTCTCCTAATGGATAATTGTACCATCCTTGCTTTGTAACTGTCAAATTTTTTTCTTGGACCTAGAGTCCTTTTCCCTCCCATGAACTCTCAGTCCTTTCCAGATGTTATATCATTAGCCTACTACTTAATAAAAAATGAAAGTGAAGCTAAGAGAAAGTGTCTTGGCCAAGGTCACCCAGCTATTAAATGCAATCAATGCCTGCCTAAGATCAGAGCCCTTGCTCCTAATATTTACTCTGTAACAGTTGGTATTTAATAAATATTAACAACAACATCATCCAACATCATTGTGATGCTGAAAGAATTCCTGTTATTTCTTCAAAGGTCCATTCCCTTTTGAGTCCTGATCTTGGTTCCCACGGTTCTCCCTGACTGAAGCATTCTCTCAATCACTCCTCACACACTTAGCCTGGATAACCCTTACTCATCCATCTCAGAATGGATGTTACTTCTTTTTTAAAAACTTCTTTTTTTATTGAGATATAATTCACATACCAGACAATTCACCTACTTAAAGTGCACAATTCAGTGGTTTTTACTATATTTAGATATGCGCAACTATCACCATAGTCAATTTTAGAACATTTTCAAGTCAAAAATAAACACCATAACCTTAGCTATGACCCCTCCTCCCATGTCTCTGTCCCTCCAGCTCTAAGAAAATACTAATCTACATTCAGACTCTACATATTTCCCTATCTTGGACATTTCATAAGAGTGTGCTTGTATAAAATGTCTTTGTGACTGGCTTCTTTTACTTAGCATATGTTTTCAAGGTTCATCAATTGTGC